GCGGCTGCTCTCCTCTGCGTCCCGCACCCATCAACAGGTCAGGGAGGGAAAATGGGGGAAAAAAAGAAAGGATCCCCCCCCTCTCCTTCTTTCGCGAGCTTGCTCTAATGTAGACCCTGAGGACCTGCAAACGTGACTTGTGGCTGCGCGCAGTTCCAGGGCTGTGGGACCTCTGGAGGGGCTGAACTGAGCCGAACTGAGCTGGGCTGAGCTGAGCTGAGCGCAGCTCTGCGGAGTCACTGGGGAGTCCTGCACTGGCCGGAAAGTAAAAGGCGGAATGGAATACAGGGAGTGCTGAGAGGGTAGACAGCTAATCCCAGCAAGAAGAGACGCCTAGAGACCCACGCTGGCTTTTTTTTTCTTCTTTCTTTCTTTTCTTTTTACATGTGTGTGACCACATGCATGGCATATGCAGATACTCCTTTTTCCATTCAGTATCTCAACAGGTTTAATTTGCTTTACAAGAGCAGATATCAGTTTACTTTACAAATACAATACTTTATTCAAAATTCAATCCCAATTTGAGTGAAATGCCTGCATAGATGTGGTACAAAAATAATTTAAGCCACTGAAACTGTTCACCTGGCCCTTAAAAGTTCAATGTCTTATTTTAGTCTGACTCTGACTGTCTATTTTATATAAAGAACTACATTTTTTCAGCTATTTGCATGCTACAATCTGTGCATTTCCCAAGCAGTCTCTGTAGTTCCATGTCATCACAGATCCATTTAAAGCCATTAGAGTATGCCACAATATTACAGTGTGATGGTTTATTTCCATACACATAGGTTCGCCGTTGTTTTGTTCATGAAGTGGGACTCTGAAACTGGATTGTGAGCAGAACAAGCTCAACCAAAGAGGTTTGGATCTCATGTGCGTCGCTGCTTCATTTTAAATCCGTTCAACACAGGCGTTTTTTATGGCCTCGAGACACTGGGCAGGTTTTGAAACAGGTTCCACTCATCTAATATTTACCCAGAGGTTAGTAAAAAAAAGAAAGAAAAAAGAAATGCTTCAATGGCTTTACACTTGAGATCCTTAAAAGGCTGAGATTTGTTCGTAGCGGTAAAGAAAATAATAACACTTTTCTGGATTTTTGGATATAAAATTCGATCTTAATAACTGTTGTTGTTTTTTTTACAGAATATTTGAGCTTTAAGTGCCCTCTGCTGGGGCTATGAGGGGCATTACATGAGAACCCTCTTAGGTCATTGGATGCTTTTAGAAAGCTCAAAATCGAGGAAAAGCGGGCATCAGGAGTGTCTCTGTGCTTCCGTGCTATCGGATACATGTCCCCTTTTGTTAACCGTGAACAAAACCACACTGTAAAACTCCTCTGGCTGTTACCAGTTGCCTTTTGGAGAGCTGGGGGAGTTTGTGTCCAATTGTGTAACTGGCGCAAAGAGCATGCTGTATCACTTTGGTTTGAGCGGACAGCTGTTGCCAATTAAAAGCCCAGCCCTGAATAGAAGTGGAACGGAGCTGCTCTCATTTGATCACCAAAACAGGCCCAACACAAACAGGGAAGCCTCTTTAAGTTGGGTTTGGCATCTATTGAATGCGCCACCTGTTACTTTCTAATCATATAGTATGAAGAAGTGGCATTTCTACAAAATAATCAGTACTTCACGGTGTAATAGATGCAAAAAGAAAGGATATCAACATAAAGATCGGTAACCCACAGTTAACACATGGGGCCATGCTTCCGAACAATGACTTTGGGACACCTATGAGGGGCTAGAAATGCAAATATAATGCAAAGATAACTGTAAATATAGGTGAATACACTCTCCAAGCATCTCACTGACCACAGTGGTGTGACTTGAGGACTCCTCCCTTGCCTCCAGCTGGCAAAAAGTACTGGAAAAATTGTGTCAAAACGAAAAAAAAAACTTCTTAGACAACGTACCGAAACCTCTCTGAGAAGTTAAGTAAAAGATACACATTTGAGCAGGGCCAGTGTATGCTTTTAAACATTTTTCGGGGGCATTAACAGAGACTTAGGTTCCATTTCAGTTGGAAGGTTTCATTTTTGAGCCCAAATGTTAAAGCATCTGCAAAAGCATATAAAAATGCTGATCACAGTGACATCATATGGGACTACTGGGATGCAACTTTCTCAGGCTGGGGAGAGACCTTCCGAATGCGGAGCTTCGGAGCAGTTCGTGTAACCATTACTTTCACGGGAGCTCAGCGTGTGATGACAAGCTGCACAGCTGTACAAAACAGCTGTGCCGAAGACCGGCCCATCAGCCAAAGATTATGAAACGCTTCCCATCACTGTGAACAGCCTCGGAGTATGCTGGACGTTTATTCAGTCTGAAAGAAACGCTACATTCCGGCTTTCTCATATTTCCCACCAATTTTTTTCGCCTCTATCATTATCTGGGATTATCTTGTCTTGAAAACTGGCAACTACGTAGTGTTTCCAGGACAAAGACTGCAGTATATCCCGATGGGATTTTGTCAAATTTGAAGCCTTCTTAAAAGTCTTCCTTTAAAAAAAAAAAAAACATTTTTAATCATAGCTTGTCCACAAACCGACTTCCATTTACATTTATGCATTTAGCAGATGCTTTTATCCAACACGACATCCTAAAAGAGGGTTTAACATTCAACTACAACACCAGTTCCACACTTACCTTGAATTCTATATGCTAGAAGAGGATTTAAAATTAAGGATTTAATCTTCAACTATAACCTAGATTACACAAGTACCATACATTGAGTGCTATATGCTTTTAGGAAATAAGTGCATTTAGAGCTTTAAGGACAAGAAATACTCTCGGAAGAGCTGGGTCTTCAAGGATTTCTAATGCTTTGATAGTGCTAGTGAACTTGTTGTCCACTAAAATACATAGATTATGAGATATATTGTGAGCAAACTCGACCATTAATGTTGTAGAATAGGATCCCTGCTTTGGTCAGCGGCCTACCTCCCGCAATTTCAGAAAGGTGAGTTCAGCACTTTATGATAGGTCTAGGTCTAGGTGGGTGGGGCTGAACAGCTGTTGTTTACAGAGCACCTCTGGGAGAAGCTGTCTGGTTATATTGTTAGTCTAAATGGTATTTCCGTGGTTTCTTATACTACAGTGAGGAATCTTGGGAGTTATCTCTTTGGCCAGGATCTGCCCTCTCATATGAAATCAATCAGACCATCTAAGATTACCTTCATTCACTCACTTCAAAATATCTTCAGAATTAGTGACATCATGCAGAAAAATGAATGCAGGCATTTATGACTACGAACTTAGCTGTCATTGGCCTGTCCCAGGAATTCCTCCATAAACGCTGCAGTAGGAGATCTGATGACCACGAGAAGGGGGGGGGGTCGTGTTTCTCCAGTTATAGCTTCTCCTCGGTGCATAGAAGTGACGATTCGGTACAATTTGCTGGTTTCCTTAGTTAGGAAATATGTGAAAAAGTCTGTGAACCCCGGTCAGCAGTGGTTCTAAATGAATTAGCATCAAGAACTTGGTTTACCGTAATAGCATCTGAGTGTGTGTGGTTGTTTGTCTTCGGGTGGTCCTGCAATGGCCCGGCGACCTGTTCGGGGTGTACTCCACCTCTGGTCCGTTGTCAGCTAGGACAGGCTCCGGACTGGGAATGAGCAGCCCTGAAAATAGATGGATGGATGGATGTTTGGTTTTAGTTATGCTGGCCTGCCGTTGGGATTGTCTGTTCTGCTCCAGTGTTTGCTGCCTGCATTTCATCATACCCTCTGTAGTCCCGTAGTCCCGTAGTCCCGGGCCACAGTTGAAAAGAGATAACCCTTTATTGTTTTTACAGGGCTTTTTTTCTTTTATCTCACTGGTAAAAGTCATGGGATCATACAGAGATAGTTGGAGAAATTCTTAAGGGCTTAGGAAAAGTCGACCATACTACAGTGAGAATCCACACACAATTCCACTAAGCAGTAATACGAAGAAACTGGGATTTTACAGACGTTCAAGTAAATATTTTGCAAAAAATGCTTTAGACACTCATTCAAATTCAATCTTATCTTCTTATTAAACAAAGACACTACAGTATTAGCTCTAACAATAGATGTTCCTTTGGATCCTGCCTCATATTGATTTACCAAACTAGTGGAAGTGCATTTATCCTACATTTAAGGTCTATATTTAAATCAAGCTCCAAAGATGTTTTCCCCTCTGCAAAATCAAATATTATGGAGCAGTCAGTTGGGAGGCTGTACACGTACATAAAAAAAATAAATAAAAAAAATTCGAATTCCGAGACTAAAGTGCTAAGGGGTTATTATACTGACGTAGTTTGTGTTTTCCATCTTCAGTCCTTTTATGTGTGCTACATGTTTTTTATTCCTTTTCCTTCCATTCAATAGATTTTAAGCTTTTAATTGGAATTCCAAGGTTGTTTGTGTTTTTGTTGTAGTTTTTGTTAGTTTTGTCTTGTTTTCTGAAACTAAATTTGGTTACTTTTTGTCACCCGAGCTCTTTTCCATCATACCTGCTGGTAGATGTTCCATGACCATGTGCACTTCACAAATATATTTGAATATGATTGTTCTAAAGGATGTCATACATGCATGTGATATACCTACTGTTTTTAAGCTAAAAACTTGTTGATCATGCTGATTGTGAGGTGTGTACCCCCCTTCAACCAATCACATCTGGAGAGACATTTAGGTGGATGATCATACTGATATTTTTGACATATTTCTTATACAAACTATGGCTTTGGACAGAACAAAAAAACGTTACTCTCAATTTGAATAAATGAAACAAATGAAGTCATGCAAATAGAAAATAAATGCGCTACTTTATACTGTAAATCTCACCTTGCCAAATGAGCGCATGTTTCATGATGCGCTGACATCCTGGAGCATTCTGATCCAAAAAGCTGAATAGACAATGCCAATAAAATGCCATTTCTGAAGGAAGGAGCGGTTTTCTGCTTAAGAATGAGCGTCAAGAGGAAATCTGGTTTTGTTTTTGAGCAGCAATTCTATATCACATGACAAAAAAGACAAAAGTCCATTTAAATTGACTTTAAAGGCTTGATTTATTCACTTGTTTGTCAATACAGATTGTAAATATGCCATCTATAATCCCCACTTGACAGATAGATATTTTCCTTTTTTAATCAGAACTGTATGAGAAATTACAAAATTGCATTTTAGCCGTGATTGATGGTTGTACTTTGGTCCTTTATGACTCCTGATTAAAACACTCAATTAAATTTAGTTAATTTCATTAAGCATAGCAGTCTGCTTAGTGGCAGTATATACTACTAATAAATGGCTTGTTCTGTCTGTATGTGCTCAGGTTAGTAGTATTTCATTTTTGGGAGGACGCATAACATTTCAAAGAGGAGGTTGGCTCCAGTCAGTGCAGTGTTTCCTGTTAAAGGATGAAAAACCAGAGATATCTGTTACCAAAATGGTAAATACTATACTAGTTTTAAAATACTAATACAGTGAAAGGTAAATACCTGTGGTGTCATAGGGTGGAGACACCTCTACCAGGTCACATCCAACGAGGTTTAGACCACGACACCCCCGTATAATTTCAACTCCCTGAATTCATATTAAGAATGGGAAAAAAAATCAATAGTTTAACAGGTGATGGGTAAGGGTGTCAGAATTGGATATAAAATAAAAATCCATCAAAGGCTTCAAATATTTTCAAGAAATTATGTGAGGGCCATCATCATATTGGGCAAATATCATTCACTTCCTTATTCATCAGGAAAAATGTATCACACTATAAGACTGCAAATAACTTTAGTTTTTCTGCGTAACTTTGTGAAAAGATATGTATATCGGTAGTCGAGCATTAAGGTGACTCTTTTCCAAGGACTTTCATAGTCATTTTGGTAACTTCCAACAGCAGGGCGTTATGAAAACAGAGTGTGTCTGATTGTGATTCAAGAAAAGAACAATTAGACCACAACAAGTTTGAACCTTTTAACTTTGAATGCTTTTTTTAGAAAGAACCTGAGCCCTTTATACCATATTTACCTGTATGGGAGTGAGTCCTGCTATCTCTGGGGTTCCGGTTCCCGGGGCAAAGCCTGGGTCAAGAGCATCAATGTCAAAACTGAGGTATACTGGACCGCTACCCATCTGGGCCCTGACCTCAGACATAAGAGGCGCGAGCGATTTGAACCAGCATTCTTCCACCTGGACCACACGGAAGCCCTAAAATATGAAAAAAGAAGGTAGTTTTTTACTTTTAAGGCAGTTTGAAAAGGCAGAGGAAAGGTTTTCATGACCAAATTTACTTTCCTGTCCAAATCAGCCATGTACAACCTCATATTGTTCGAGGACGCAGTATGACATTATTATTAATTTACTATATATTGGTACTGTAACAGGTTTTTACATAAAACCACAATTTTGGATGTCTAATGTCCGTCAGGTACTCTCAAACGAGAGAGAGTACCTGTGCCCGGCTCCATTCATAGGAGTCTGCAGAGTACCCAGAACCTCGCAGGCCAATCTGAACCACTCTCTTGCAGTCCAAAAGCCCCTCCTCCACACAACGTCTGAACGGCGTGCCGTGGCCAATCTTCTCCCCCAGAACCACATCACTGGTGTCAGCATGAGCGTCCACATGGACCAAACCCACGGGGCCATACCTGGCGGGTTATTCCAGAACAGACCCAAAAAGTTAATGTGCATTAATCACTTGACAGCGTAGACCAGCAACAGCTTAGGAAAACTATCACTCCAAAGGAAGCTTCAATGTCTAATGGTAGAGGCTATACGAAACCTAAAAAATGACCAAACCCGGTATGCTACAAAAAATGGGGGAGTCATGCTTTGTGAGAAATAATGGATGTGGTTTTCTGGAGTTTAGCACAAATAAATCAAATATCAGGTATTAAAACATACTTCTTCCCATTTCAAGGCTAAATATAATACCATGTAAAACACTGTTTAGACAAACAATTCAAACAGGCCTTATCAGTGATATAGCTGAAAATATATTAATAATTTTAATGATAGATAGATAGATCACTTAATAACAAATGTCTTTGTAATAAATGCAAACCTGGAAACCTAGATTAAAATTGCATCCAAGGGAAGGCGAGGCTTTCAGAATAAAAGCTGGGCAGAGGTTAAACATTTAGCCAATGATTATGTCAATTAGACCTTATATCCAAAACACTTTGCATCAGAAAACCCAACTTCTAAACAGATGCTAATGTCTGTTGTCATGATTTTTGGAGATCAGAGTAGGACTTTATTTCATGATCTGACTGTCATCTCGATAGTTGTGGTAGGATACATGATAGTTGTGTATTAGCTGCCTTAATGGAGGCTTGTACACGGTAAAACATAGGGGTTCCAGGACTGACTCCTGGGGAACCCCACATGTACAATCCATTCGGTATGACCTTCGGTCTGGTCATTCCTGACAGTACAAGAGGAGGAAAAACGCCCTCCCATTTCCCATCAGCCTAGCTGGTGCTGATGAGCTGTTGGTTAGAAGGATCTTGTCCACTATATTCAATTAAAGGTAAGGTTTATGATATCCACATATTCCATTTACTTCCACATTTACCTCTAGTCATTAGATTTTGGTTTCTAGCATGTCGATTCTCTGAAGCATATTATGGTAGTCATCCTCTGAAAACAGGGATATCCTGCTGTTGATGTTGGCTTCTGCAAAGTAAGTCCACTGAGTAGCTCAAAAAACAAAAAAAAACATAAATGATTTTAAAAGTATTGGGAAACTTAAAAGAAAAGAGTAAAATAATCAGGATTTGTGGGAAAATGTAGAATAAAGAAATAATAAGAATAAAGAAAATAAGCTTTATTGTCACTATTTTAACCGTAGAATAAGATAACAAGCGCACACTCATAGAATAGATTTAAAACACACAAGTTTTAACACAAGTTTGGCATTTGTGTGTCACATCATCTCCAAAATGCCTCAAGTTTGTGGCTTTTTCTAGAAGTTTCAGGTCAGTTTTTTCATTTTTTTATTTTAAGCTTTCTGGCTATTTTTTCTTATGAAGTGGATCTAGTACAGGTTCAGGTTTTAGAGGTCCCGAAAGGACACAAATCAAGACAAAAAAGGCGAAAACACGAAGAAAAGAAAAATGTTTTCTGCAAAATGTCACTGGGAGACCTCTTTCACCTCTCTTATCTATAACAATTTCACACTTGTTCCACTTCAAACAACGAACCAGACTTACTTCTCAGCGACAGCCTGCAGGATCGGGTACGCGATCGTGTGATCCCCACCTGCAGACACCGAAACGTCCATAACGCGTGACCTTTGACACTTCCCTGGGCTATCGGACCGGCTAATGATTGCCCGGCTCGTTTTGATCCCCTACAAATCATTGACTTTGACTCTCGGTGGATCTGAAAGAGCGAATCACAGAGACGTCTTCCTGTGTCTCTCACCCATGGTCAGCGGGATACAGCCGGTGGCCAGGATCTTCCTGTAGGCCTCCCTGATGCGTCTGCAGGTGTCTTTTAGGTCATAGACGTTCACGTTTACGTCCCCGATGTCTGCGACCATAAGGGACTCATAGGGAGCTGCCCTGGTGCCACTGTTGTAGGCCCTCAGCATGGCAGACTCCACCCGAATCTGTCTTGGACCAAACCTGTGGTGGTGGTCCAAACATAGAAAGACGTCAGAGTTGATCTTATTTCCACATGGGATGCAAAACGTACATTCCTGGACTTTAGTTGTTTTTAAAAAAAAGACAATTGTATGCGTTAAGCCTACATTCTATTGGCGTATAAATGATGCATGTGGTGTAAAAGCAAATTGAGTTGTCAGGTAGACCAGAGACGTGCTATATAAGTGCAGTCATTTGATTGAAGTGTATTTTTACACCTTGTCCTGTCTGTATTTTTCTCCTTTATCTAGCCAAACCTAATCAGCCATTTTTAAACGTACAAACTTGCTTCCCCTTCTTAGCACTTTCCTTCCCCCTGAGAAAATTTCTACAGCAGAGTGATACAAGTAGGCTTAAACCTGTCTTAATGAAAAATGAACTTGTTATTTTGTTTTAAACAGCCTTAAGCTAGTTTAAGCTGTTTTTTCATAATTACAATATGGTCTAAGAGGCGTTATGACAGCCACAGGTGAAACAAACCGACACGCTTGGATTCTGGAGCAGGAATACACTCTCTTATAACAGTTGTGACAACAATACCTCGCTCCGGGTCGGTTCGAGGTCCCGGTGTCGATGGGGACGCCGACAAACGCCGCGTCCAGCCCGTCGGCCGACTCCCGGAACGGTAGTTTGGCCATGGTGGGGATCCCCGACACCCGCGCCACGAACTCGGCGCTCGGCGGCACATTGTACCGTCTCCCCGAACACTCTCTGTGAAGGCTGACACGCGGTCCCCGTCTGAAACGGGCCAGAGTTAACGCCTGCCGTGGCGTCGAGGAGAAGAACTCCGGTACCGAGCGACCAAAACACAACTTTCTCACGGTTGAAAACATCGTCTTTTAAGAAACGTCAAACCTGCTATTCTGCTACTTCTCAGGTCGTTTGCAAGCTCGTAATATGCAATGTCGCGGGTCGAAAAGAGAAAAAAACGACAGAAACATCTACTTTTTTAGAATAAATTCTGATCTACATTTTCGTATATTTGGGTTGCTGCTGTCATTCACGTATCATTTTCATTATTCTATGTTACAAAGTCTGGAAAACTGCTTTCTTTATTTTCCTCTGCGCTCTAACACGTAGTTTACAAAGTTACGACATGGTAGTGAACTTGAAGGTTGCATATGTCTATAAATGAGCAGCAGAGCAAGTGGGAGGGGTGCTGAGGTCAGAGGTCATACTCACTTAAGAAATGGGGAACTAATTGGACATTTTCAGTCTGGACTCACTATTTTGGGCACCAAACATTTAATTCAATTCATTTAGAATTTTTGGCCTGGGGTTTTTACGTCCTCTGCCTCAATAACAGGTTGGAAAATGTTTCCGAGGTAGAAAAAAGACCAATTTATACATGAGCTAAATCAGCACAAACTCTATGCATAAACATGATGGATACTCTACATAAGGTTTAACAGACCAGTGATGAAAATGTTATCAAGCATCAAGTTTTAAAGTGAGGTAAATAGGACCTTGAAGGAATATACCAATGACAAAATACTCTGTATCATTATTTATTTGATCAAATCCAGGCCACACTCACTTCCCCCATTGGGGTGGCTGTCTGTTTATTATGTTTGGGATCATTGTCCCGCAGCATGACCCAGCTTCAGCCTAGTTTTTTCCTGTCAGACAGTTGGCCTCACATTTGTCCACAAAATCATTGACTACAGGCCTGGAGTTGATTCAGTGACGACAGCTAAGTCAAGTGGCTGCAAAATAAACCAGATCCATCACTCCTGGCATGAGGTGTTGATGCTGATATGCTGTGTCTGTTTTTTGTTAAATGCGAATATTATGGCCAAACATAACTAATTCAGTAGTGTCATCTTGAGGAACGTGCGCAAATCCAAGTTGAAGCTTTAGAGATGTGAAGCTATATCTGTTTAATGGCTTGACAAAGTATTGACTTGCAAAGTCTCAAGACGGGAAAAATATTAGACAATGTTAAATTACATCCAGTCATCGTATATACCCCTTAGCCCTGGATTTCAGAGGGGCCTGTCCCAGCTGTCACCTGGCGGCAGGTTTAATGTCTCCTATCAGCCGAACGAGCATCTCTCTTCACTGTGGGAGGATTTGTTTTTAAAGGTGAAATAATGCTTTTGGCAACTCTCTGTTTAAATGAATATTTACAAAAGGTACTTGTATATGGGCTTGTAGAGTGGAACAATAAACTAAACAATTTTCATTCCATGTTTTAAGTAAAATGGTATAGAGGGCGTAAAATATATTCATGTGTTCTCTGGTCTGTAGACCTGTATTTATTTTAAAATAAGCTTCTCATTTGTGCTATTACTCATAATAATAGGACCAAATCCTATTATCATGGGAATTGGTCCTGATATTCTCTATGATCTATTTAACTGCTTATATATGACTCAGTTAAGTGGCTGCTATAAAAATGAAAATCAGGGAAGAATAAAGGAGTGTGTTGAATTGTCCTTACCTCTACCACACATTGGGACCAGCATTAGCATTTTTCTTCCCCTTGATCTGTACAACAATCACGAATACGATCATTGTCCAGCACCTCTTCTAAATGGGGCGTAGGGGTGTTTTTTCCTGTTTTTGTGAGGTGTAACTGCGTCAGTCGCATCTCGGGTGTGCGCGCGCCACCTGTCCTCTGTCGGGGCGCGGCGCGCGGTGCTGCGCGCGCGGCGCTGCGCGTCATCAGAGCAGCTTCAGCCTCCGCGCACCGCAGACCCGCGCTCTCCTCAGACTTGTCTCATTACATTACATAATACCGACAAGCAAGCATGGTAAGATGCCATTCCATGTCTTATTTCTAATATTTTCCTCTCTGATTATGTCCTCCCAGAGAGTCTGACCCACTGACAGTAGCTGGTCCGTTAGAGACGTGAGCATCACTGAGCCTTTGTCGTCTGGGGCGGATTATTTATTTATTTTTTGGGGGGGGTGGGGTCGGATGGGGGTTGTTCAATTTTGAGAATAGACATTTTTCACAATCGAGTGATAATTTGTCCATTTTGCGTTAAACTAATTTGCATCGGGATTTTAGAAAAGCGATGCATTCATTTATCTGCCCCCAATCCTCCCGGGGCGTTACTAAATCAGCTTAGATGCCTTTGTCTGACAACGGGGTTTCTCCTTACCCCGTTACCGTCGGTTAAAACTGATTTTTTACTCTTTGAGGTGGCGATTTTGCGCTATTAATTTCTCCTATTTTTATTCATCGTCTCTTATTTTAATAATAAATATATCATTTTCCTCTTTTGATGGACATGACTGAGTGAATAAACCAATCCATCACGAATTTCTCGGTTATTTTATCAGATAATAATTATAATGATATAATGATCATTCAACCCAATAGGCCAATTTGAAGTGCAAAGGCATAACGTGCCATTCGGGGGTCTGAATGTGGGTTTCTAAAGACTCCGCACGCTGCAACATGTCTGACCTAGATAATCCCCTCTCTCCAAAGTAATCCTATGCGCAATAGACGGTCTGGTGTCGCAGCACGAAATGTAAAGGCCTCCGTGCAATGAATGGCTCAGCGGAGTTTTTCTAGTAAAGAATATGATGTCATTCTAAAAGCTTTTCAGAAATCGTGCAGTATATCATTAAAAAAAAGCTGTTTATTTTGAAATTTTCATGTAATTCCTGAAAGATTAGAATAATGTCGTAAGGCTTCTGTTTGACCTCAAAATCTGCTTCCTTCATCTAAAGTGCAAGGCTCTAATCGCTCTTTGTCTATCTTCCAAATCTTTCCTTGTGTCTTCCAGCGTGAGTGCATCTCCATCCACGTTGGTCAGGCCGGCGTCCAGATTGGCAACGCCTGCTGGGAGCTTTACTGCCTGGAACATGGCATCCAGCCGGACGGACAGATGCCCAGCGACAAAGCCATCGGTGGCGGGGACGACTCTTTCAACACCTTCTTCAGCGAGACGGGGGCCGGGAAGCACGTCCCCAGGGCGGTGTTCGTGGACCTGGAGCCCACCGTCATCGGTAAATGATCGAAAAAACGGTAGCGCGGAACTTCCCCTCGCTGTCGTCCGATCAAAGTTACAACCTCTGACCTATTGCCTCTCTCCAGATGAGGTGCGCTCTGGGACCTACCGCCAGCTGTTCCACCCCGAGCAGCTGATCACCGGAAAAGAGGATGCCGCCAACAACTACGCCCGGGGACACTACACCATCGGCAAGGAGATCATCGACCTGGTCCTGGACAGGATCCGCAAACTGGTGGGTTTCGATCCCAGCGGGGAAAAAAAAAGGTGTAAGACAGCAAAGCAAGTGGACGGTACTCACATTTTTCCTGTTCCCGTAGGCTGACCAGTGCACGGGCCTGCAGGGCTTCCTGGTCTTCCACAGCTTCGGCGGAGGCACCGGCTCGGGCTTCACCTCCCTGCTGATGGAGCGCCTGTCGGTGGACTACGGCAAGAAGTCCAAGCTGGAGTTCTCCATCTACCCGGCCCCCCAGGTGTCCACCGCCGTGGTGGAGCCCTACAACTCCATCCTGACCACCCACACCACCCTGGAGCACTCGGACTGCGCCTTCATGGTGGACAACGAGGCCATCTACGACATCTGCCGCCGGAACCTGGACATCGAGCGCCCCACCTACACTAACTTGAACAGGCTGATCAGCCAGATCGTGTCCTCCATCACCGCCTCCCTGCGCTTCGACGGGGCCCTCAACGTGGACCTGACGGAGTTCCAGACCAACTTGGTGCCATACCCCCGTATCCACTTTCCCCTGGCCACGTACGCCCCGGTCATCTCCGCCGAAAAGGCCTACCACGAGCAGCTCTCGGTGGCCGAGATCACAAACGCTTGCTTCGAGCCGGCCAACCAGATGGTGAAGTGCGACCCCCGCCACGGCAAGTACATGGCCTGCTGCCTTTTGTACCGTGGTGATGTGGTGCCCAAAGATGTCAATGCTGCCATTGCCACCATCAAGACCAAGCGCTCCATCCAGTTCGTGGACTGGTGCCCCACCGGTTTTAAGGTCGGCATCAACTACCAGCCCCCCACCGTGGTCCCCGGGGGAGACCTGGCCAAGGTCCAGAGGGCGGTGTGCATGCTGAGCAACACCACCGCCATCGCAGAGGCCTGGGCCCGGCTGGACCACAAGTTCGACCTGATGTACGCCAAGCGGGCCTTCGTCCACTGGTACGTGGGCGAGGGCATGGAGGAGGGCGAGTTCTCCGAGGCCAGAGAGGACATGGCAGCTCTGGAGAAGGATTACGAAGAGGTGGGAGTCGACTCCATCGAGGGCGAGGGAGAGGAGGAAGGAGAGGAGTATTAAAAGGGTCCCGCTGTCTTCACGTGCACGTTCTAAACTGAAATGTTTGTGTATCAAATATCAGTTTGGCTTCTTCAGATTAAAAATCTGTTCTAAATAAAGCTCCATTAGTTTGAAGTATTTTTGTGTAAACTATCCAATGGTGTTTTTCAATGGTTTTCTGGGGAAACACTGTTCATTTCAGATAACGGAGAGTGTCTCATAAAAAAGTGTCTAGCATAGGCAGGTAATTTCTACAAAGCTTATGAGCATCTGTGATGACCACTTTCACTCAGAAGAAATATCTGAAGGACAAAACTCACAATGCATTCAGGGCTCTTTCACACTTTTTATTTCAAAAAAAGAAAAATCTCAATTTTTTCCCAGATATTCTTGACAATCTTTGTACCAGCTTGATGTTTTCCAGCTTGAATTAACAGAATATATTTTTTATAGCTGATGATGTGAAAAGATGTGAAAGGTTAAGTCCTTTTACTTACATTTACCAAATAATGCTAAAAGCAACAAACTCCACCATGCCACTGCTACATTTCTAGAAGGGCGCAAGCAGGGAAATAAAAGATAAAGTGCAAACGGCGACACGGTCGCATCCTATAGGTCATTCAATACTGGAAATCATTCTGATTATTGCCAGAGACATTCGTGGAAGTTTTTTTTCGAGGAGTTCCATAAGTGTGCCACCTCTTAATTGTTAACATCTCTTATACACATTAAATACACCCGCTTCCTTTAAAATACCTGAAATTGGCTCTGCTTCCACTCCTTCAGAGCAAAACGAGGGTTCTGCCAATCCCAATATCCCCCAAATAATAAAGGTGCATCAGGGCTGTGCGAAAGGGAAAGTCAGTAGTGACTGGTGCTTTATAAAGTAGTGGACTTTGGTTATTTGAAAGTGGCCCCTTAAATTCGGCCGATTTTAAAAGCACCAGCAAAAAATCAGGGAGCTCCCTCATTGGTGGATTATGCAAAGCAGTCATCAAACATGACGTTTTGCACAGGGGACACGTGTAGCATTTGGAAGTCCCTTTGATTTTTGTCGTGATGACAAGTGAAACCAACTCCCAGACTTTGGTAAACAGATTGCTGGAAATGCAAATCAGCCGCTTAAGCAACAGGGACCAGCTAAGATGTGGGAGGGGGGGAAATGAAACCACCGGATAAATGCTGGCTACTGTGCTTTGGCACCCGCACACCGATTTGAGATGCTGTGCGCTAAGACTAAACGACACAAGACGGTTTTAACTTTCAAACCCCGGGGAGTGGCTTTCAACAGGCCTGTGTGGACGGAGCGTGGGGCGGGCGCCTCTGCTGGCCGAACAGCAGGAAGCCCACCGCCGTGCGCAGGTCCTCCAGCTCCAGGCTGGACAGGAAGCTCCTCTGGAGCTCCGCCTCCACCCGGTCCCCGCCCGCCCGGCCGCGGCCCTTCAGGAGCACCACGGCGGACTGGCACAGCAGCCAGTCGGCCAGCCTCTTCATGCCAGCGCTGTCCTGATTGGCCAGGGCCCGCCGGCCCCACAGGCTCAGGTGCAGCATGTTGGCGGCCACGCGGGCGCTGGGGCGCTAGAGGAGGAGTAAGAGGGGTTTATTTTCAAATCTACATGGTCGAATCATTTAGTCGCCGATTGGTACAGTTAAAACGGTACTTTGGACACACTCACTTTGCTCGGATTTCTCCTGAGGAGCAGTCGGACCACCAGCTGCGTGTCGGCGGGGACGCGGGGGGGCAGAGGAGGGAGCTGCCTCTCCTGGTATTTGGAGCTCTCCAGTCCCATCGCTCCATAGAAGGGGTTCGGCTGTCCGAATATCTCGTAGGAGACGGCCCCCACGGCCCAGGCGTCGGCTTTGCTGTAGTCAATCACCGCGCCGGGGCCTGGAACTGCAGTGGCCACCTAATGACCGGGGAATAAAAAAAAGAAACATTAGAATCAAAGTCAAAGAATCAACTGGAAAGCAGAAATGAAAGGTGAGGTCGGGTCACATAACTCGACAAGACGTTAGTGTTCTTAAATCTTTGATATATTTTGGGACATCAGGAAAAATTAGGACCTTTCTAATCTACGTCATATGTGTAGAAACACATCCTGTTTGCATTTAGACACATTAGATTTGTCTGAAGTGAAGATGCATATTTCCCCACAGATTCAATTCACTTTAATGTCAAACCTGATATGTTTTACTATTCAGCTTTTATGCCCTTAGAAAAGTATTAGTGTAAACCCCGTAACCCCCCCCCCCCAAACACAAAAAAAGTTAATCACAATCAGGGCAGACCAGAAATTTGCCTGCTTTTTAAACCTAAAGTCACACTGAAGGGGGCCACTAGGGGGCCCGGGAGTAAACTCATTGTATACTATTGACCTTTAGCTTCAACAGTGAACAGATAGACTGTATTTGGTTGATTTTAAAGTCTTATTATTCAAATTTTTTAAAAAGTGCTATAGATAGTGTTCAAAGTTCCGGAAATCTATGCAAAAGAATATATATGTAACATATATTTCATATGTCACATCCACATAGCACAAAATTCTGAGACAAAACCCCAGACAAACATGTAGATCAGGCTATCACCATAAACACCCAGCCATGTCTTAAAAGCAAAAATTTTCTATGCTTTATCCCCAAAAGTCCATATTTTGGACTTTACACCTTAAAAGTCCTGCCAACTTTTCAGGTAAAAAGTTATTTCCCAATGTTAAGACATCTTAATCTTCCCATCAACTCATAGCATGGAACGCTCTTAAACTATTCTTAACGATAACCAGCCTTTACTGATATTTTCATATGAGGAAGTGAATAGGAACTATTGAAACCTACCTCAGGAGCCATGAGGGAGGCATTCCCACCTCTGCTGACCCAGTTGCTGTTGAAGGGCAGCTGTAGGCTGGAGTCGCTCTGGGCCAGGCTGCAGCCGAAGTCCGTGATGACTAAACGGGGGCAACCATCTGCAAATAAAACACAAACGAACAATTTTAAAAAAGCCGAATTTGAGCTAAACACGCAGAAACGGACACGTTTATTAAATTAATTCCGCTCAAGTCTCACCCGAGTCGAACTCCAGCAGCACGTTGTCTGATTTGAGGTCTCTGTGAGCGACTCCCTGCCGGCACAGGTGGTCCACCCCCTCCAGGAGCTGCAGCACCATCAGAGAGCCCTCCCTGCTGCCGGGGCGGGACGCCTGCAGGTACTGCCGCAGCGTGCAGGGGTAGCTGTCGCGCGCAAACAGAACCAGTCAAAAAATCTATTTATACTTTCAACAAGTAACACAGCCAGAAAAATCTATGTCAAGCAGTTATGTTGTTCCACCTGAAGCCTGTTTAAAACAACAACAACACGCCTCTAACTAGCAATTAATGCTAATGCTAAGTACATCTAATCCACACTTTGTTTGAGATTTGGATCTGAAATGCAGTAGGTCCTACTTTTTCATAACCAGGAAGAGCGTGCGATTGTTGCCGAGGCCGGCGGGGTTGAGCCTGGCGGGCAGAACATCTGGATACTCCTCCCGGGCCCCCGGCAGCAGCGGAACATCCGCCGTGAAAGCCCTGTACACTCTGATGACGTTGGGGTGGGCCGACACTCTTCTGGGCACCACTCCAAATTCCCTGCGGGACAAGACGGCAGAGGTGGGTTCAGTAGGTTGGAAGAGAGGCAGAAGCAGGAGAGGACGGGGGTCTTTTACCCATCCAGGGCGATCTGCTCGTTCTCCTTCTTCAGGGCGAGGGGGCCAGCCGGCACCAGCTCCTGGGACATGGACCTCAATATCGCCTCGCTCGATGACCCTGCCTAAAAAGAGATGACCCAAAGAAAAGAAGATTTTCACCCAGCTCTTACGCACCAGCGTTTTTTTTCCAATGACCAAGCTTCATCTCATTTTAAAGAACATGCAATTAGATATTTTCCAAACACAGCACGTTGCTCTCGGACTACTTGTGGTTCCTAAAGTTTCTAAAAGTAGAATGGGAGGAACAAAGATGCCAACGTCTGTCAATATTAACTTGAATTGGATTGTATTACAATGAGTTGGATTCTAATTGCTTGAACTGGGCTGTACAGTTGACATTTCTTGGGTTTTGGTGCAATACAAATAAAACTGAACTGATTTGTTTAGTTTTGTTTTGTTTTCATTCTCGTCTTACTCACCCCAAAGTTCCACAACATCTTGACAGCTAAGGGGAAGTTTTTAAGAGAGCAGCACGACAGGGGGCGAACCGTCTTTTTCTCCGCTTCTTCTTCCTCGTCCCTCTCCTCCACCAGGAAGCGTTTCCCCTCCTCCATACGGGCCGACGGGGCAGCGGCCTCATACACGGCCGCATTGGAGCCTTTCCCAATCTGGTTGCCTATAATGTAATCCTCCAGTCTATATCCAGAGGTGAATGGTCTCAGAGAGCTCTGGAATCTCTTCTTCCGGAAGACAGCCTGCAAAGTGAGGTCAGATTTTTTGACGATGTCATTCAAACCCTGAGAGCAACCGGAAAATGCTTGAAATGGATGAATAAAGACACACATGCTGTGTGAATGTCTTAACAAGCCATCACATTTTGAGATTCAGTAATAAGAATGTGAAATGAGGTCTTGCTGACACTTCTACAAAAATGACCAAAGCAAAAAAAAAAAATGTTAAAGGGGCATGAAAAACACAAGTTTATTCAGAGTGAGCTGTTGTCATACACCACCTTGTCCTTCAGAAAACTGAGGAATCGGGACAAATGGAAGGCAAAAGAAGAAGTTAAAGGCCTAGAGATAACTATTCAGGTCAGATGAGGAATATTTAAAACCTAAACAGTGATGTTCTTTAAAATAATGATAATAAGTCCTACAAAGACCTGACACAGGATCTGAGAAATCCATTTCAAGCCTCATCATCAAAGACTGTCATTAACAAGCTACTCCTAAAGAGGGGGGGAAAAGAGTCTTAGATATGCCAGGAAAATCAGCAGTAGCAGATCTGATGGAGGGATTCAACCCCCCAGAGACTGCAACTCAACAATATGGAAGCAGCGTGGGAGCATCTTGACAGAGAGCAGAAGGCAGCCAACATCTAAAGCATAGCTTTGGGATTTCCTTGAGGAGGCCTGGACAACTCTCCCTGAACATTTCTAATAGAAATTACAATACCACTCATCTCTTAGGGTTCATATTAGCCTCTGATCTTGTGAATATAGAACAAACTAGGAATTCTTCTTATACACTGCTATGATTTTTTTTCATTCTTCACTCATCTCATAAATATACTTTCACGAACTGTTCTAGGTTTTAACCTCTGACATCCCATAAAGAGAAGTTGAACTGTATACAACTTAACCTAAGTCTGTGAAATCCAGTTGTAATGAACTACTGTATATTCGGACTATCAGTTGTATGACTTTTCGTTTAGTTTTTGCTTTAATGACAAGAGATAAGGTTCATTATCTGGGTTTGTCTCTCTTTCTATAAAAAACCCCAATGCTTTTAATAGTAACAAAGACAATTGTGACTAGAAGTGTAGGAACCAGAACACTGACTTTGGCACAGACCGGCTTCTCCTAAACATGGCCCACCTGTATCTCCTGGCATGTTGCCGCGCTCCGCCGGTCGTCCTCAAGCTGTTGTTCTATGAGCCCCACGCCGAGGCCGAAAGCCAAAAACACGGCCCTGTTACGCGGGGAGCCGCCGGCGAACCTCCTCCTAAAGGCGGCGGACTGAAGCTGAGCCGCCAGGCCCTTCAGAGAGGTGCGGTAGTAGCGGTACCGCGAAGGCAGGAAAGCCTGAGGCTGAGCGGCGCGGACCGAAGGGCCTACACGGAAACGGTCAGCTCGGAGCTTTGCTGCGATTCGGGCACCGGATTTAAGGAGACCAATCTGAAAGAACGAACGGCCAAACTCGAGCCCCCGACTAATGGCGTGTTTTACAGACATGATGGGCCCGAAAAGGTGACTTTAGATGGTTAAAAGTCCCTAACTGGGTCAATCAACTCGTCTGCTGTTTGTGGCAAGGGCAATATTATGTAAACAAAACAACAGCACTTGAGCATGCGCAAAAAACAACTACATCTTCTTCGTGTTTTTCTTGTTGAGTATTTGTTGGGCGACAGAGGAAGCGCCATCTAGCGTTAATACGAGGATTGCATTTTTGGTTTCTTAAAAAACCCGTAGCGTAGCCTACAAGTATTACTCTTGTTTAAACGGGGGGGACAAACAAGAAGAAACTTGAAATTATTCATTCATAAAAATCAGAAAACACTGATAAAAACCTGAAAGCACCATTAATTTGGACAGCACCATCAATTTTAGTTACTCTTCTCAGCTGCAGATGTGAAATTTGTCTGCCAATGTGAATTTCAGAATTACAATTAATACTTTTTTATTTTGTTTTACGTTGCAATTATATTTCACCAGACGATAACATGATGATAACAATGAAAAAGGTGATCTGACAGCTTTAAAACTGTCATTGCAGGAGTTCCTATCAGGATGTCTTTGCGTCACAAATAATTCATGCCTGTCAGTCATCATTCAATAAACCATTGCTCTGTCGGCAGGGAAATGGTCATTTTACTTTTTAAAATAGTTTGTTTTGCTTTTTCATTTAGCTACAGGCCATAATTAACAAAACAGCTTTTATTAATGCTTAGCCAACATAATATCATTTTAATTATTTCTCACAAATGCACACACCTATAATTCCTGTCGGAAAAGCTCAATTTTATCAAGTGTCTATATTAAATGTCCATCCTGCTATTTCCAAGTTAAAAGTCAATACTCGTATATCAAATCAAATCTAACCGTGGACTGCAAATTTAAGTATTGGGGAAACTCAGGGTATAACATGATCTACTAATAAATATTCAGTGTTTGAGCTTGAAAATATAGTTGCATGTTTATATAATTGGTGTTACTTTACACTCCATTTGATAATGTAAGAAAAAACTGCAAAAAAAATGTCACTGACGTAATTTTTTTGGCTTCTGGAAAAATTTTTTTAGCTTCAGCTTTATTTTCATCCTTAACATAAACTGAACAAACATGACAAACAGGTTATTTTACTAGCAATTTAAAAAAAAAAACATTTTTTCTGCTGCAGATGTTTTATCTTTTTATTCACTTTCTAAAGTAACATAACTTGTCACTTAATAGACGTGGTGTTCTTGGATGTGAGGTTTTTAAACCTGTTCTATTCAATAATCTAATATGAAGTTCAAAGACTTACACACAGCATGTCTTAATATATCAGAAAAAAGATGCTAATGGATGGAAGTGGGTTCAATATTCCCCAGTTTTGTACTGCTCTATTTAACATAGCTCTAACCCTACCACCACTTATAGCAACACAAACATTTTCTCAAGTTAGTTATCTCTTAAAGTATCGGGGAGCAGAAATAAAAAGAAGGTTTAAACATTGAAATTAATTTTTAAATAGAAACTAAAAATCAAACATTACAGTTGACCCAATGAGATGAAGTTATTATCAGCACTATAAAAGATAAAAGAAACAATCCTCTTCAAAACGACAAATGAGTTGTTAATTCATACAGTGATTGACGGCTATTAATGGTGATCAGAGAACATGCGACATCTATTAGGGCAACAGAGAAACCGTAGGTGAAGGGTCCCATTAGCATTCATCAGTTGAATTCTAACGCATTCTCTTTTTATCCCTACTCTATCACATATTGTATTTTATAGGTTTTGTATGAGTCCATCTCATGTGGCCAGTGCTGGTTGAGCTGTTTCACATGCTGGGGAATTTAGCTAATTGTAGTTTATAGCTTAAACTACATAATCTCAAATAATTTCTGAGTTATATTTGCTTTGATATATACCATATTGCCCAAATTTGTTATATCTAAATGTAGGAATAAACTAACTCATTTGTTGTTTAGATTGGAGGACTCATTGAAAAGATAAAAGGGTTAAAATATTGAATAATCCTTTTTTATCAAAGAATTATTGCCACTCTTTATGCTGTGTCTCCGTCAATAATCCAATTGATCCATTCCACGTAGTTCCTCACTTTGGTGTAAACGCCGGGGAAGTATGGGTTTGCACAGCTGATGCCCCAGGAGACAATTCCCTCAAAGAAACCGTTGCAAACAAGGGGACCGCCAGAGTCGCCCTGTAGATCACAAAAACAGAGCATACGAAGTAACGCAAATAGATCTCCCAACAACTACAACAGTGGTAAAGACTGGTGCAGATGTGAATAATCAATGGGGATATTTTATAGTTTATGTCATGACATTTGAAAATCATTCAATTTGGTGAAATCTTTTAACAGATAGTACGAAGCTTCTTGTGGATCTCCACAAAAAACCTCATAAGGAGATCCTATGTGGTGTTGCATGGTTTTCTTACCTGGCAGGAGTCTTTGCCACCGTATGGAGATCCGGCACAAATCATGTTTTCCGTGATCCGGCCCCAGTAGTACCACTTGCAGTACAGTATTTCCCTCACGTCCACGGCCCGCAGCACGGGGGAGAGCACGTAACTGTAGACCTGCGTCACGCCCCAGCCGCTCACTGTGCAGACGTCCCCCCTCAGCGGTGGGGAGCTCTCGTCGGGCAGCTTCACGGGCTGGACGTTGGAGTTGAGCTGTGCCGGCTGACTCAACTGTAACACAGGGGGCAAAGTTGAAGATCCAGACCGAGTCATCTTCATCAAAATACAAAAGCGAGGAGCATCAGGACACACCGCGAGGTCGTGCTATTTAATCTTACCTTGATGAGCATGATGTCATTGTTGAAGGTCTTGTAGTTGTAGTTGTGAACGTAGATCTTGGACACATTGAAGGTCTGCTCAAATCCCTCGGTTTCGGTCAGACTGTGTTCGCTCAACACCACCCTCATCAAATGGCTCCTGAAAGCCCAAAAAACAGACATAAGTTGCTTCTCTTTGACTGGAAACGACAGGGTAAGAGCCATTTCAGGCTATTTCTGTTCAGAGAAAAACACACACGGTTATTTTGCCTCCTCGAGTACCCAAGGATGGACGTCGGTACTTACGGTCTCCAGCAGTGGGCGGCAGACACCACCCACTGCTGGTGCACCAGCGTCCCCCCACAGAAGTGCTCGCCCTTCTCCGTCTGCAGGGAGGCCTGGTATTTGATCGAGTAGGGCTGGACCTCCTGACCCCCGATGATTCTTCCAGCATGCGTCTCTGTCGGCAGGGAAATGGGCACTTAGACGGCTAACGATTTGCACCAGTTTCCTTGGTTGCCAAAAGCAGAAAAAAAAAAGCTACAGAAAGAAATTATTGAGACGTTTGGGATCTTTGTCTAGTGGTATAAATGGTCTGTTCTCATGGTCTTCAAAGCTGAATGAAAATCCTGTTTCACAACGTTAACGTCAAGAATTTTGCATTTGCCGAGGATTAAAAATTTGAATTAACTTGCTGGAGAACCAACCTGACAGCACTGACAAACACAGAGCCAGCAGAGTTGCGGTGAGCTGCCGTGGAGTCATTTTAACCAGAAACCTGCAAAGCAGAAACACCTCTTTCAACAGCTTTTATGTATAATCAGTCTATCATGACCATTAATGATCATTTTCTTTACCAGTTACACCTTACTTTTTTTGAAAATATCTTTACACCGTACCCTGTGAAAGGTTGTTGCATCATTAGATGGAAAAGTATCACATTTATCTAGACGGGATCAAAGTCTTCTCCTCTGCTTACCTGAGTGCCAAAACACCTTCTGAGCTTCTCCAGCTACTGAGACCACAGCTCTCCTCCCGTCCTTTATACTGTAACTGTATCTTTGTACAAGTCTTTTGTTTAAATCATCTTTTCATCTTATTGTGTACTGTAACATCTCACGCTTGAACAATGACGGTGACCTACTACATGACAAAGATAAGGTGTTCTCTTGCATTATGACCATTTTACAGGTTCTAGTTTTCCACCGCAGCAAAAAGTATTTAGGTTGGCAACGCCTCTGCTCTTCATCATCATCACCACGTTACGGGAAGGATAAGCGGACGGACCAATGGTTGGAGGTGTGAATCCACGAGCCCCACAGAGCCACAGTGCATAGAAATGGGCATAATCGCGTCATGTTTTTATGGTTCGAATCAACATATCATACAATAATGAGCTAGGAATATTGTTACCTCCTTTTTAGACTTGTGATTATGGTCAGAAACATAGAATCCCGACATATCAGTACAACATTTGTCAAAGGTTCTCCATCCCAGCTTTATTTATAATGCCTCATTACAAAGGTTGCTATGTTTCTCGCCCTACTTGTCAAATCATAATAATCTATCTGAGCCAACAACCACAGGTCAAGCTTGCAAAAGACACTGTCCCCCAGGGACAAGTTCTAGGGTCAATGTCATTTTCTTTTGACACATTCCCTTTTGAACTTGATATTCAGAGACGTGACGTTCGTTTTGGCTGTCAACTCCGGTCACTTCTGGCAAAAGCAAACGCCATGCCTCTAAATATCGTGTTAAGAAGGAATCGTGCAAAAAGAAAAATAGGATGAGGTGACATCTTCTCCTAAGAGAAATTAATAAATTAAACAAGCTGCTTGTAGAAATTGGGGCAGCAAAGTATCCTTTGGAATGAAATGAAGTGAAAAATACTTTATTAATCCCAAAGGGAAATTAAATAATAAACAAACATTCTTTTAAAACATGCCTTTCATTTAAATGTTTCTTACTTCTTCTTGCCTTTTGCTTTTGTTTCACACTGGATTCAGATTTTATTGGCGATACCAATTGTGTAAAGACCTTTTTTTGTATGCTTTTTCCTTTGAATCGCTGTAACGATCACGTTGTGTATGAGGACACAAACAACAGACTGCCCAAAAGGACACTTTTTCATCCTCTGGCTGCATATTTAAATGTTTACATGATGTGCAGATAATTTTCCACACATTTTTCTAAAGATCCTCCATAGCCAGATGAGACCAGCTTCAAACTTTAGCAGAAAAAAAAAACTTAATTGACTATTGACATTAATACTAAGAATTTCTTTAGAATATTCTTAATTGTATTTCTGTATTTTCTATATTAGTTCCCTTTATATTGAAAACTGTGATACTGAAATGTTTTCCTGCCAAGAGTCCAATTGCTGCCATACTTATGAAGCCACCTGAGCAGCTTTAGTCGATCAGAATGTGCCGAGTCATTGCTAATGATGTAGACCTGAGAGCCACCATAGCCACCGATAAAAAACTACGATTATCCAGCTCGGTGGTGTCACAAATTGGCGATTAAAAAGTGTGCCATCACAATGTTTCAGTGATGGTTATTGCATTTCTAGGTGTTTGTCACTAAACCTAGCAACACAACAAGACTGGAGGAATTAATACGCGCGCTTACAGTTTCTGAATGCTTGTCACGTGTGAATAAAACCCGAATCAAGAAATTTCAAAACAACGCAAATACAATTTTCGTCTTGATCCTTGCATTTTTGGGGGGTTTACTTTGTTGTTGTTCTGTTTTATTAACTTTTCATCCTGATAGGCCACTCCTTCCAATGGCATCGGCCACCTGTAAAGTCACTCTGGCATAATTTGTGATCTAGGTTTAATTGCCATCTCCTTATTTTATACATACCTGGTTGGTAGCAGCTAGTTTATCAGCTGAGCTGAGTTCTCCCTCCTCCAGCCTGAGTCAGAATGAGCCCAGGGCTCAGTAATTAGCATTGTTGCTTGTCATCTCCTTTGTAGATTATTTATCCTGTCTGAGGCTTTGGTGGCTGATTTTCCACATACATTGTTGCCCTCTGACAGCTAAAAGAAGTGGCAAATGTGCCCCACTTATGTCCAAAAACTTCTTAGAATAACAAGACCAACATGATGGAGTGCTCAAAGTGTTGCGTTGGCCTCCAAAACCAAACTTTAGAATCTCGCAAAAGCATCCCCAAAGGTCCTCTGACCAGTCTGACAAGTCAGAACTATTTCAGGGGCTTTAGAGGCCTCGCAGAGGTAGTTTATATAGGTTGTATATTCTGATCATGTGTACAGTGTACATATGCTTGAGTTAAAAGATAAGTTGGAAAATAAAATCCTTCACAGAGGTTCGAATTGTTTCTAAGGTACTACTCAACATGAAATAGACCATACACTGGTCATAATTTTACACGTTCACAATTATTTATGCTGCTAATAAAAGCTACAGTCAACAGGAGGTAAAACCACCCTCCTTTCGTAATGTACCACCCTCCTCTCTTAATGGGAAAAAATCTCTATATCAAGTCGGCTGGTGATTTAAAGCTAAGAGTCTGGGCTAAAGCACGGGGGGGTAGGTGTGAAAAGCGCACTGGTGTAGGCCATAACTTTTCTGTCTGAGGCCCGGCAGATTGGACTGAGGAACAGATCGTGTGAAAAAAAAGCACTGGTCAGCCCTCAGGGGAGGGAAAAGAGAGTAGGACTCCACCTGTCAGCAGAAGTGAGAGCAGCATGGAGGGCTATTAGTCATCTGAGGTCAGGACCTGCCTGGTTGGACGGATTCTGTGATAACACCTGCCCGCGAGATGCGCTCCATTTTTAATGACGCCCGGCTCTGGGCTGAAATGCTGCCTTGACCTGGTCTGAACCCAAAAGTCAAAGCTGTCAAAAGCAACCGCTTATCCTCCCGGAGAAAATCAGTGCAGAGGGACAGTACGGTGATGACAACCGGCAGAGTCCACCTTCTGAATCTGTATCTCCTTCCGTTTAACTTGTCAGCAGCCTCATTTGATCTCTGTTGGTTGGTTCAATTACGCATGGACAAACTGTCAAAAACTGGAAATAACTGAAAAGGGCTACAGCATCAGAGGAGCTGCTAAATAATACATTAAACCTGATGTATAGCCATGACTTGCGGGCCTACACCAGCACAATGAGCACGGTGCATCCGTCTGCTCACACGTGACAGCCAATGAGAGAACAATAAATTGGGAGATTATGTAAACAATGCACAGGTATAGGGCGGCCAGAGTGGTTCGGAGAAACGTGGAGACAAGCGAGCCACGCTAAGGAGGCTTCAATTATATATTGGCCCAAGACAAGGACGTGGCCATGGAAACGGAAATAGAAACTATAAGAAACCCGAGAGTGCAGGTGAGATGCCTTCCCCTTAAAAATAGACAGGTAGGACGCAGGTTAAACCTCTCGCTCAGGGCAGTCCGCGCTCCTCTTTGTCTCACTATGGCTCCCATACATTTTTGGCTTTCTATACTGTTGGAGATCCTGGCTGTAAACTGTAAGTAAGCTTCTTTAACATGAAAGAGTAGTTTTTTATTTTACAGAGTGAGGAAAGTTACAACAGGTGGAATGTTTGTTGATGGAGGACAAGATTAAAAGTTAAAAACATGCAAACGTATTTGTTTATGTTATCAGTGTCCTTTCTATTCATTAAAAAAAAAAAATACCGGTAGATAAATTAGCGCTTTTTGGAATTATAAGTTCTGTTGGTCAACCAAGAAAAAAGTGTGGCTTTGTCTTATATCTGGATATGAAGGATTACCTTCAAACCTTCAGAGTAGAAAGAGGATGGGCTTGTTTTTGTTTGTTTTTTCCAAGAAAAAACTATAAGATTATTTCAGAAAAGATTTTATTAAAATGCGTTGTTTTTTCAATGCGAGATTGACAACATGAAACTGCTTTTTGTATTATTGAAGCAGCGTAAGACTTTGTGACACAGAGTTATGTCTTGTTACCAGAGTTAATTGCATTGACAGTTTAATTTAACTGTAAAATAACTGTAAAATACAATTAAGAATTTCAGGTATTGTAGTAAGTATCAAGGAAATAAGACATAAAAAACAAAATGTCTTTCTGGATTTAAGCGCTCTAGTAGAGGTAAGGTAAAACTGGCAGGCACCTAATTGTAAAACTGAAAAAAAATAAAATAATTTAATGTAAAATGAGTAAAGATGAATGTATCCCACACCCTCTATTGTATCGCAAAATTATGCCACAGAAATAAAACATAATGAGAAAGTGTAATACTAACTTGAGCTGCACCAGCTGACACCTTTTCTGGTTATATTTATATTTTTCCAAAGATCTACTGATTTTATTTCCATTTTGAGGCAGACTATACACAAAAGAGACCCGTTATTGAGGATAAGGCTTACATAATGCTCTCTAATGCACCGGCATGTGTGCGTTAATCTCAGACACCCAATCCATGCTGTGTGTAACGTATAGAGTTACCATTTTGCCCCAGAGACACGCCGCAGCCACTCATTATGGCCTCAGATCACTATCTGAGAGCGCTAATGAGCTTCAGTTTCATCCTTGACGGGATTTTGCATTCGTGAAATTGCTATCAGTCACAGTGATCTACAACTTTGGTTTTCCCCATTAAATATTAACAATGCCGGTACTCTGAGGGACCGACAGTCTGTCCAGGGCGTACCCCACCTCACACCCTGTGGCCTCTGAAGTCCCCTGAAGCTATAAACAAACACATGAATGGATGAATACTCTCATTTTTCTGAGAATCATTTTGGAAGTTCTGAGTTCTCCTGACTGTGAAGCATTTTGAGCTTGGCAAACAAAAGACTGAGTAGAAGGTGTGTTCCTATTACCTCTTATTTTCATCCAGTGGCTGATTTATGATCTTACATTATATGATTTTTTTGTCAAAGTTTTAGCTCAATGACTCCAAATCTCCATTATGATTTTTCAGAGCATCTAATTTGAATCTTAACATTACTTTTAAATGAAAACTGTCACTAAAACTAGACTGAAATCTATATCTAATAACACTTTCAATGTCTGAATAAATACTGATTCACCCAGATAATCAGTTTAAACATTTGAAACTAACTCAGTCCGTTTAAAAATCTCATCAAGATATTGTTTGACAGTGTTAGTTTTCTTTAATCCCCACTGCACAGCGAGATGTCCAATAGACTTTGAAACTTAAAATGACATTTTTAAAGACCTCCGCTTTGATGCGCTGCCATCTCTGATTTAAATTCTGCTCTGAAAGCATTTGCCAGCCAGCAGTATTTGTTTGTGCTGAACATGAAATCAAATTTAGCACCACAAAGAGCAAGAAATGTCTCATCCATTTCCCAGGTGACCACAGGGGTCCAAAGTGAAAAACAGGGTCTGCCTACCAGTTTCATTACCAGTACCAAAATCATTGCAAATACTTTAAAGATACTAAATGACTTGAAACATTAAAAAAAAAAAAAAAAAAGTTTGAACATTTTTTGAATTCCCAAATATGTCATCTATCAGTCTCTTTTCTAAATGAGCATGAAACCCCACTGTGTTGCACTATTTTGTCTTTTAAAAGAAATGGTTAGTACTCTGAGTATGTTTGGGAGGATGCTGATTATCAGAGACTTGAAAGAGTGAGAAATGTCCATTTTCTACAGAGCACATCAGCTTAACATTTCTAACATTTCTTAACTATTTCTAATGTCAGATTCCCGCTATCTTAACATGCCAGTCAAACCACACACCAAGTCTATGAACCCGTGTTGTTGCTCCAGCAGAAAGAGTTCTGAAAAGAGCTAGAGTACAACAAATTCTGTAACGTCTGTTCAGAGCCGAGAGTTACGCTTCTGGATGTAACAAGGACCTGTGTTGAGTTAAAATGGCTTTCCAAGGTACCATGCTGATCGTGGTGGCACATATGTTTCTACAGTTTAAACTGAGGCCTCAAAGACCACTAAACAACAACAGCGGTCTCTGGCCATTTGGGAAAAAAGAGAGGAATCATGAATAAGAATAAGAATAATAAAGAATGGAGAATAAGAATAAGCAGAACTCTCTAAGCCCAAATCAAACCTTAAAACCTCAAAAGGCACCATCCCAAGTAACATTTAAATGTCAGACATACTTGGCTAAGAATGCCAAGTATGTGTGATATTAATAATATCACACAATATACCTCAAATTTAGATGTAGAATGTAAAGGTTATTACAAACATTTTGATACTGTTGTATACATTCTATCTCATCAATCATTGTGATTGGATAGATTTGAAAAGTGGCATGTCAGAAGTTAGGAAGAAAAATGCAAACCTCTGTGAGTTCACATTAGAAATTGCTACACAAGTGAACTCAGAAAACTCCACAAAGAGCAGGAATCCAAACTGTATTCCCTCCAAACTCTGCGGTAACACCGGAGAGATAATGATGGTGAGACTCATCCTCCCTTTGAATCAATGCAACTCAGAGATGCGATCGTTTTAATATCGATCTGCTGAACCAGAAGCGTCTGCAGTGAATTCCTCTATTGTTTCTTTTTAAGGACTCATGTTGTTCTCACTGTGATGGAGACTCAACCCTGTTCCCTTTCTTTCTCCATCTCCAGTCCGGTGTAATGGTCTCCGTACCTCTGTGTGTGTGTAATTTGCAGGTCAGGAGGCTCCACAGGAGCGCATAGTGGGAGGCTACGCGCCGGTTCCCCATTCCATCAAGTACATCGTGTCGATACAGACAACCAACCGCCAGCACTTCTGCGGAGGCTTCCTGATTAATAGATTCTGGGTAATCACAGCAGCACATTGTAATATTGGGTGAGCTTGTTTCGTTTGTTTGTTTCTTCTGATTTACCTCCAAGGAGAACAGAAGTTGAGGGAACTCAGGCAGGCAGAGACACAAACGGAAAATAAATCCCAGATCACCGACCCCTCTTTGTGCCCCGATTTAACGTTTTGTAAGCGTTTACAAGCAGTAAACAGGATCGTTTCTTAGAATGACCCGGGATTGGTTTGTTTTTTTGTGTCAATGCGTGCACAGAGAATCACATTAGAAGATTTTTTTAACCATATCAGATGGTCAGTTCTCTAAATCATTCCTGAAAGAAAGCACATGAATATGATCCCGGCACACAATGGAGCTCTGTGCTGCTGGAATCTGACACAGGCATAATGTTGGCATCAAGGCTCACTGACAGCACACTTTCCGATCATTTACAGGCAGTTTGGATTGTGAGGATGCAATCATCTCATACAATGTCTGCTGTTTAATCGAGTTTCTAGGGTTACATCAGCACAACAGACTGATATATTATATCTCTAGACACACAGTGTGCGGGGCTGTGAGGTTCCCAAACTTCTGTGCCGCCATTTCCCCTGCTAGGCAAAAACTGACAACTGGATTTAGTGTTGCCTGTCTTTAAAAAGCAAAAAAAAATCAATTCAGTTCAATCTTATGTATAAAGCAATAAATAAATGACACAAGCCAATGTGAATCAAAGTTATTATAAGGCAGTCAAACGCCAATCAATTCTAATTCAGGAAGTTCCAAGGTAGAACAATTCATAACAGCATCTCAGAGATAACTAATGAGTAAGAGGAAAAACACAAGTTATTGGCAACAATAATTTACAGCTTATTGCATCTTGCCCAATGGCTTTTTACTCTCTCAAAAAAGCCCTCAAACTTTAGCTCTGATTGGTCATTAAAGTGTTGATTCAGTGTGGTCGGGGAGTAACTCTAAATCTATGGGGTATCATTTCAAATCCTATTTGGGCGCTTAACACCAGTAATGTCTTGGCATTCTCTGACACTGCCATATAGTAAAAAAAGAAGATTGTAATCTACATCTGCATGCAGATGGAGATGGAAAATGCGCTGATTGACAAACCTCTGTTAGTGTATACATGGCCTCTGGTGCAGAGAATAATGTCAACTCCCACTTCCTCAGCTCAAAACAACATCAACTCCTCTCCTTAGTTAGCTGTGACATTATTCCAGGCCTGGAAAGATTTCTCCCGGTTGTCCTTTTCGTTGCGACTCAGTTATTATGAAAAGTCAAAGAGCTTCATATCAGTCATCACTCAAACCAGGACGGCATTGTAATTGTTTTCTGCAGCAGGTCGGCGAAGCGGAACGAGAGAAATTAGCTCCTTCTGGTTGAGCGTGCTGAATATAGTGTTTAAAGGGAACCAGCATGGGGCTCATTTGGAAATTAAGGTGCCTGCCTGTTAGAATTTCCTGAGCATACTGACAGCAATGACACTATTCGGAATGAAGACTGATGATATAAGTTGTTTTGGGATAAAAACGCCTCCTGCTTCACTGTGGTGTGTGATTGTAGGAGATTGTTTGTGATGTCAGGAGTCCTTACACATTACACAAAACATCAAGGTATGGCTTTGGCTGGCGGGGAAATGTTTTTACATTTTTTTTCCACCCTGACTTTGTGGATATGGTTGAAAAAAGTTTTTTTTTTTAAATGAACAAAACTGGCTCAGTGTAGCTCTCTAAACCTCTAACCCATGCCTAAACAATATTTCTTGCCCTGAACAAACACTATTCACCAAACACAGTAGACTTTTTATGCATAGGAGATCATTTTATGGTGTGCCACCAGGAACATAAATCTAAATTAACTTCCATATAAACATATGAAATTAAACTCTTTCAAATACTATACTGAAAACCTTGCACAACCACTAGTGAAAAGCTCTAATATAAATTAGTGAAAACATTCATCTCTTATATAACCTACTCAAAAGCTCTTATTCAAAGTAGTGAGAACTGTTTATTAAATTCTGGATTCAAATTCTCTTTTAGCTAATTGTTCATTTTGATTTGTTCATTTTCACATATCAAAACAGTATGGGAGAGCATAATGGACTCAAATCAATCATAAATTACCACATCCTTAGTATTTAATAGGTTATCCTCATGCTGCCAAAATTCCACAAACAACACGGTCAAAAAATGATCTAAAAGTGTACAGTTTTAAGATGTTCACATGGAAAGGTGCCTTTTATTTTTTAGGAAAGGTTTGTGGTCAAGTGGTTGGTGTTGCTGGTATATAAAATTGTTTAGATGGTTGGAAGGTTTCTTGCATGTGAGGGCAGCAGGCTGTAGTTTTTCCCATTAAAACTCTATAACTGTGACAACATGGGCAGCACCACTTACTTTTGCCTGCCTGCGTTGGAGAGATTGACAGAAGATTTTTAGATGGTCATGAACATAGCTCAAAATAAAACCCATGTAACTACTGGATAATGTAATTTCGGAAAAAGCTGCTGTGTAACTATAGTTTCCACTCAGTGCACCGCGTATTCTATTATGGCAGGAATAGCGCTCTGATAATGAACCCAAATACAGGAATACTCCAGTCAACTGGCCCAATTCCTGGAACCTAGATATACCTGGATAACAGACGCATGGCTGTCTGTTAAGAAAAATATCAACTTAAAAAGCCAGAGCAGAGATTTTTTTTAAATGTTTTGTTTGAACAAGATAGGGTTTAAAATCCTGTAAATGAAGCTATTAAATGGAAGTCAGCCATTAATCCTTTGAGCTTTTACACAATGTTTTTGACATGGTTGCATCCTGGGTTAAAAAGGTCAGAGACAGAAATAATCTAATCTTATACTGAGGCTTCTGTGCCAACTTTAATTAGCTAGACCCTGAGACTTTCTCTGAAATATCAAGATCATCTTTGGGGGAAACTGAATCATGGTTGCCTTTTAAAAAACGCAGTTTTAGGCATTTATCACACTTTTTTAATTGCTCATCAGCTTTGTGAAGAAAAAAAGCTTAATATCAAAGTTTATTATTGCAATTGAATGTGTTTTTTAATCTTATTTTTCATCTCCAGACTAAAGAATATGATGGTTGTGGCTGGAGACTACTCTTTGACCATCTATGAGGGCACAGAGCAAGAAATCCAACCCCAGTTTTTGGTGCCCCACCCTGCATACGACAGCAACACAAAAAACAACGACATCATGCTTATTAAGGTACGAAATCGTGTTCTCAGTTATCCGTGGAAGGGTGAATGACCAGTCATCCTCACTCAGACCTCTCAATAATCCCTCTGTCCACAATCTCCCCAGCTGAGGGCCCCCATCTACCTGAACAGCTACGTGTCGGTGGTCCTGCTGCCCCGGCAGGACGCCGCCATCGCAGAGGGCCGAGTGTGCCGGGTGTCGGGGTGGGGATACACCAGCCCCAAAGGAGGGCAGATTCCCTCCACGCTCCGAACTGTCAAGCTTCCCATAATCTCCCCGGAGAAATGCAACGGCAGCGATTCGTTCGACGGCAACATCACACGTAACATGCTCTGTGCCGGTTACAGCATCGGAGGGAAGGACGCCTGTCAGGTAAGGGGGATTTTTTTCTTTTTTTAAACTAGTGCATGCTGTTTAAAAATTTGTTAAAAATTTTTTAAAAGAAATTCTAAAACGGTTTATGAATAATGATAATAATATATATGATAATAAAAAAAGTAGGTGGAAATAATATTATGTGTCACGTAAAATACATTTGTTAGGCTGTGTTAAAAACGAAAATGTTCAATAAGTCATTTTAATTTATGTGTTTATATTAATTCAAACGATAAAGCAGCAAATGACGATGAGTATTCCACTATTGTGGACTATGACTTTGCTGATTCACGTGCCCCTGACTCAAACCAAAGAAAAAGAAAAGAGGGGAAAGAAGGGAAAAACTGATTTTTGCTGCAGATCAACACACACTAATGTGTTAATACTGATCATTTATGTTCACAATTAACTTATTTCCAACCTCACAAATCTGAAAACATTTAAAGTAATACTTAAATGTTGTCATTTAAATATTACCTTCATCTTTGAAGGTGTCTATGGTTACTTGCCCCTAAAATAAAATGTCTGTTTCTGCCCACCTTCCATCCCAAGAACCTTGTGCTGACTCAGCACAGTTACTGTTTGGCACCACTTCATTCATCCCCCTTTCCAAAAAAAGATTATAGACATAATTCTGGAAGAGAATATACTCGAGGAAAATGGTTAAAAAAACAGAGAGCCAGAAAACTGACATAAACCAATCTTTTGGGGGGCTATTAATATTTTCATAGGACATAAAAAAAAGTGTCCTGCTCAGCAAATTGTGACTTTGGCGTCACACTTGACGGGCTGTAATAGAATTGCTTGCGTTTCCTCCTGTTTTAGGGGGACTCAGGAGGTCCACTGGTCTGCGACGGGCGGGCCTATGGAGTGGTGTCCTGGGGGACGGGGTGTGCTGACGCCCAGTTTCCCGGAGTCTACACCGCCGTGTCCAAGTTCCGTCGGTGGATAGATAACACCATATTTAGCTACTACAGCAAATGTAAGAGGAACTGACGTTCAGTGTTAACACACCTAAAACCTGACAACCTTATTTTACCGTTGCCTTCTTGTATCAAATGTTGTGTTTGTTTAATCATTTGTGCACATTTGAAGACAAGTCAAGTGTTAAAAGGGGAAGTCACACATCTTGGGGAATACAATCTTGCTAAAAGCAAAAGAGTCATAAGTCCAGAGTTAAGTGTAAAGATTGACACCTATTTATATATTTTATTTTATTAATAAAGTCTGGGACAATAGTGTGTCTTCCTTTAATGTAGCAGAGCAAACATACTGGAAACAGGATGGCATATCATTTTGCGTCTTTTGTCAAACAGATATTTAATTTGCGATTTTGTTCTTCCTTTCAATGGTTGTTGTGTGTAGTACATTGGTTGTTAGTGTTTTATCTGCTGTCAGTTCGGAGAATACATATTTTTCTGAGAGGTGAGCTAAAGACAAACACTAATCATGAGAAAAACAATGTTTTTTAACCTCAAATGCCTTTAAAGATTTTCTAGTGCTTCAAGGGTGGGCTGTACTGTGGATATTTACACTATGTCACTTCATTTTCTGGACTAAAAAGATCCAGTAACACAGCATTGGTGCATTTCCACTAGTCTCCACTCGGCACAGCGTTTTGGCCCCACCAAACAGTTACAACTTTGGCCCCTACTCCGCCCGGATACCATCAGGGCTGTATTTCATTGTTGTCTCGCCATTGTGTTGCGAATTAATATCGTCACACGTGGGTTGGCCTGTCTGTTCGGCCTTAACTTGTAATGGAAAACCACTTCAGCCGTGCCGGACCGTGCAGGGCTGAGTAGGCACTACTGGAAAAACGCCATGTGCGGTCCATTTCAGACCTTTTTGAAGTGGGACCATCGAAAGTGACAGAAACATCCCTCTACAACTGATGTACAAAGACTAAAGTATCATAGACTCTATTCACAAACTAAATGTCAAGTAAAACAGCGCATGCTAACCATATTTTCACAACACTAAGGTTGAAGTGCCATTTTGTTGACTTTTAAAATGATAGCTTTCTGTTGTGAAAATCTGTGCGTGTACTCACCTTAAGGTTAATGTAACTGGTAAAATAGCTTTTTCTTTATAAAGCTTCATAAGGTGTGTGACCCCAAACAGAAATTAAAAAAAAAAGAAAAAAAAGAAACATCCACTTTGGAATCTTTAAAGGAAGCAATTCTATTTCCAATTAACATTTTGAATAAACTTTTCTCCATTGCATCTTCTGTAATTGCACTTAATCAATTTGGGCATCTGTAAAAATCTAGATTGAAAATGGGATTATTTAGTTCTCGGGGTTTTGAAATCAAAGGTTTACGTGGAAGATTTTTTGTCTATTGGTTGCATCAAATGTAAAAATAAAGCAACCAATGGTAAATGAGATTATCTTGATCAGTTACACAGTTGATCCGTAAAGATTTCTGTTGGCGGTTCGAATGTTTGTTGACACAGTTGCCTTTATAGTGTCTCAATTAGGGTGGAAATTAAACTTGATTTTTTTTATTAATACAGTTTATCATTTATTTAGTTTTTAGAATGGCGCCATCTTAGGTAGTGATGACCATTATCTCTAAAGTAATTTTGTTAATGGTGTCATAGTGATATAAGCCTGACACTATGGAGAAGGAATTAATGGAATCTGGTAAAAGAAAAAAGACAGGGTGTATTGAAACAGTAAAGTGAACTGTATTGTTAACATCTTTTGTACAAAAATAAATTACCCGTCATTCCACTCACTGTGTGACACATTTCTTTATGTAAAATAGGAAAGATGGCATCGCACCTTGGAGGCCTGTCATCACTATTAACGGTCAATAGTGGGCACGGCAGGTTGTTTGGACAAATTACCGTCAAAGTCAATGTTGTTTTCTGTCAATAAAGCTACCACAAGTGGACACTTAATAACTCATTAGCTGATAAATTATTACAAACCCATTTGACCTGGCATGTAATTCTTGGTAGCTTGTCACTTGCTGCCCTCTCAAACACGTGAGAAACTGTCTCAAAACTGGAATGACCACCATTAAATATAAATGGGGCAAATCCTTCTTTGGAGCAATCTGTGTCATGGCTTCGAGGGTTCCTTCCTCCTCCTCACGAAGCCCCGGCTTCAGCCAGAAGTGACTCCCGTGAAGGCGAGAAGTCTCAAATCCAGGTTAAATCAGTACAGACTGCCTCACACCTGAGAGGTGCCGGTGGATCACAACAGAATGAATAGTTGATGGCCTCCTTCAGAGGGAGCTCTGGTTTCACGGCCTGGGCATGTCCGCCCGGTCCTAATGGGTGTGCCAGTGACCCAGCTGATTGGTGGGTTCTTTATTCTTTTATGTCGCTGATTTTACAAGCTTAGTTACATTAAAGTAGAAAATTCCTTTGTTAAGCGCAAGAAAGTGTCCCTGGGGTGTCTTGAAGTACGTCACCTGATATGGTTGATCCCAAGCTTCCTATATGTAGCTGGGTCACACAAAAAGAGATTCCCTTCTTTTTCCCTTCTTTGTGCCGTGTGGAATAGTACTGGCTCAGGAAAATATATTGCGGCTGTTACCTGAATAGCTTCACCCAGGGGACACTGCTTTGTGCAAAACAAAACATTTCACTGTATAACAGCTCCATTCCCCCAAACTAGGCTTGTATAAATGTAATTTATTTGGCACGTGTAAGATAAAAGATAACCCAACATACAAAGAGGATTTTTCGAGGCTACAGTAGTTTTGGTATAAAAATTGTGTCACATTTGGGGAAGGCAACAACACCAGAAAGGTGTTTTTTTTTTTTGTCCTTCTCTCTGTCTTCCCAACCTCCAGCTGGTCGAAGCACCCTCCCAGAGTCTTTTTTTTATTTTTTAACTTTTCCCAGTTACCTGATCTAGTGTCACAATGGGGGATTAGACCAAAGAAAAGTGTAGGTGCAATCTGTTAGTATCATGAGAAAAAGGGGGATTATAGTTTGTACCTCATAAGAAGGGTTGTGATGGGCTTTAAATGGACTGTAAGTTTGAAGTGTTTCAAGATTAAATTTGTTGTAAATTGGAGATAGATTCAGTTTGATATTGTCAAAGATCCAGTTGAATTTCCATAGCAACAACCTGATTTGACATTATGCTGCAGCTTTTTGTGCTGGATCCAATTTCAACCACACGTTACACTTCCAAATACATTTTTGGTCTCCATATATCTTTTCAGTTCCCAAACATTCAATACATGAAATGAAACAGAGTTGATTTTCCATGTCAAATACTTATTTCAGTGATTCCAAATGAGTCTGTTTTTAATCATACTTGTGCTACATAGACACAAAAATGCAGCATAACTAATTTCTTTACATTTTCAATTCAGAGGAATTTTAGATTAGTTTATTTAATCAACATGGTAGTATGGGAGACATTGTTGTGTCAGTTTTAGAAATATTTTCAAGATGAAATCTAGATTGGTTATGTGGGGGTTAGCTCACAGCTCATGGTTCCTGGTTCCAGAGGGAAGTGGGGACCTGAGTGGACTTTGCATATTCTGGGTACGCTGACTTTTTTCCGCAGTTCAAAAACGTGCATATTCGGTTAACTGGAGAGTCTAAATGGACTGTAGGAATCATCGTGAGTGGTTGTCTGTCTCATTAGTCTCTTTCCAGGTTGAACCTCGCCTGTCACCAATGTCAGCTGCAGTAGGCTCTACACCCCCCGTGACCCCTCTAGGAATATGTGGCAGAGAAAATAGATGGATGGCTGGAAAATTGTAATCTGATGAGAAATTCTGATACTTTTTTTGGTAGCAAAACTACCTAAATAACTGGAAAATGTTTTGTCTGATGTGTTTGAAAAATACAAATCTTACACATTAAAAAAAACATAAGAATATGATGCGGAAGTAATGGTTTACAGGCTATGATAGTGGTTTTTGAAAAGGGCTTTTTTCTTTTTTTTTGCCACCAGAGGGCATTTTACCATTAAAGCATGAGGAATGGGAAAACAACAGACGGAGTGGAGGCCTACTTCCTCCTCGTCTCTTTTCTGATTAAAATAAGCCTGTCCTCTGAAGAATTGTATCTTCACATGAAGATGTTGCATCATCCCTCAAAAATGAAACACAGCCAAGATCTTGTTTTTCGATTCAGCCGATGATGCTTTGAGAAAGAAAACCCAAGAAGGGGGGGTTTGAGTGTGAATGTCTTCACTTCTCTGTTCTCCTTTACAGTTTTGGCAAAGACTCTTTAAGGCCTAACGACAGTTTGAGATGCCAAGAAGCTTTGAGGCACGACAGAAGTCGAGATGAAAATGTGACCGCTCGATTGTGCAGCGCTCTCCTGAAAACCGAAGAGCCGTTCAACTTTGCCAACGGTCTTTCTTTTTTTACTGCTCCATCTTTTCTATGTGCTCCGAAATCATCTCCTGTTTCCCTCCTTAATTTGCTCACATGCCCTCCGCCAGGAGGCATTTTTCAGTGAAAACTGGGACAACGGGCATGTGTAAAATATGTAGTAGATGGAATAATTGGCTCACAGGCAGGGCCTGAAATGTGATTCCCTACCTCATTTCAACCCTCTGCAAATGACTTTTTTGCCGAATAGACACTGACAGAGGGGGCTCCGGAAAAAGAAAAAAAAAAAAAACTCTGTCCTTCTGTGAAGTCAATCTTTTTCTCATAGTTGCTTTTCATGGTAAAATCATTCGTGTGAGTACTTAGAGACCAAAAATAGACGAGTCTTGAACCGGAGAACAAATTGGGAGGACAATGAGTGGGCTGAATCACTGACTCAGCCTCGCAGGTTCAGACCACTTCCACTTCCACAGAAAACAGAGCTCAGACTGAGAGCTTAGAGCCGGCGACAAAATGACGCCACAGCTAAATCTGTCAGTCAGTAATGTGTATTTACATTTTAGTGGGGAGAATCCCCACTTTAAGAGTGGTCTTATCTCATAAAGCAGCTGGCATTCTGCGAGGTTTAACAAGCAGTCAGTGCTGAAGTCCATTAGGGGTAAGATGGAGCTATTTGTTTCCTCTGTTGGTCCAAATGTAGATAAAATACTAAAGTGTTGGATCCTGACACATCTGGCAGTGCACAAGTGCTATAATGCTAAATGTAAAAAAAAAAAACACCCAGGCAATTATAGAGTCAGGGGTACAAGCTCAGGAAATGCCTTCTCACATCAAGAAATGCTTCAATTCTCTCCACCATAAAGGGATCAGGTGTTCCACGGACCATATGCCCCCTGAAAAATAGCAGGAGTCTGCAGCGCTGATGAGTGTGTGTGTGTGTGTCTCCAAAGCAAAGGGTCTGTGTCGTTATCCATGAAGCTGAATGTACCACCCAGACACAAAAGATTCCTCTCAGTTACCAACACAACACAAGAAAACAGGCATCTGCTCAGATCAGAGGAACGCAGATTGGAAAAATTAGAGGAGAGGAAAGCAATTATAAGAGGGGTAAGAGACGTAAACGCAAAGAAAAATTTTGAGGTGCAAGAAAGGTGCCAGAAAGCAGAGACAGATAAGCACAGAGCGGCAGGATTGGGGTAATGATTGCTAATAACAGCGTTTCACTTTCCGTGACAGATGTCTGGCTCACAAGATGAGGGAGGTCCTTTCATCCCTCCTGACACTCCACAGAGACATCTGTGAGGATTCATATGCTTTTCACCGAACTTATTACCTTTATTATGAAATATAGACAAGTAAATGGTACGCTTCTTTAATCTTTTAAATGTAAAACATAACAAAAAGAGACGTTTTTTAGGACTATGTGCATCCTCCCACCTGTTTTTTTTAGTGTGCCTCTGTCCTTTTTGGTGCTCAGTGATTTAACAAGTTTTCCCCTCAGAGAATTAGCAGAAAGTAGAGCACTTTCATCATCTTTCCTAACTTAAGGCTGAGGATCAAAGGGAAGATGTGCCTTTATTATTTTGGAAAGATGTGGCTGATAGTGCTGAAAGGCTCAGATACGAGCCCACAGACATTGTTCCCCAACCTCTTATTGAAATCCTAACAAGACTGATCACTCCTGAAAGCAGCATTTGTCTCCTGTAATTGTTGCTTAACTAATTTAATGTACGGACAGATAGGGGTTTATACAGGTGATGTATGTAGGTGAAATGTATGGGTAGTGTTTCTTGTAGAAATGTGTTGTACAGAGTTGAAGTGTTCTGATTTTATCATGTTAAAAGACTGACTTTTTTTTTGGTGGGTGAATTTAAATGAATCCATCAGCGCTGGAAAAATGCAATTATTTGATGGTATTCTCCCACATCCAGAGTTGAATAATAAAACTCACTCAAAATCAGGAATAGAGCTGATATCCTGAATAAATACATTAACATATTGAAGAAAAGAACAAGAAGAATGTATTATTTACATTTTTTTTTTTAAACAGCTGTTGAAGAGAGAAGCTATCTGCAATTTAATAAAAACAAGGATTAAGTAATTCATGTGGGTCAGGAATGACCATCTTGTGATTAACTTAAAATGTTTTTTAAAAAAAACAATTTCCTTTCTCACTCAGAGAATGATTTTTATTGAATCCTCACATTAAACACAAAGCACAGTAAAAAAAATATAAAAAATGGAATTTTATCTGCTTCTATTTGTAGATTTGCTAAAACACTGTAAACTTAAAAAAACAGCAATAAATACTTTATCCTACTGTACATGTTCAAAAGGCTGTAGTTTCACAATCCTTGGGGAGAAAATATGACAATGTATCACCAGGCTGTAGTTTTGTTAAGGTCAGCGTTGCGTCAGCAACTTGTGATGTAACTGTGAACATCAGCAGCGAAGATAGCACAATTATGCCATTTAATAGTCCACACAATAAAATAAATATCCGTATTCTCCAAAGCCGGGATCTTAAACTTCAGTCACGTGATTTTGATTAAACAAATCATCTCAAAAGGTTGTTACATTTTTGACAAGTCAGAAAAATGTAAGTCAGGTGTATTTGAAGCAGGGAAACATAAAAAACCCAGCAACCAGAGCCAGACTTTGAGATCCCTGGTGTAGGGCGTGTACAGTACAGGTAAATGATACAATCATGTAGCAACACGTGACGAAAGAATAACAGGGAATACAACCCAGGTATGCCTCATTGCATAAGCTGTATCTTCTTATAGACAGACAGACTGCAACACGTGGATTTAGCCTACTGTAAGATCAACCTTACTGGAGCCATTTTGCATGTAAAGGGCTGTTAATACCAATATTCCCTCATATAGTAATTACGACTTGTCTAAGTCTATCAACAAGCTGTTGAAACGCATACGCACTGAACATGACCATGAGTTCATGCCGCTCCTTACTGATCAAACTAATTTGGAACCTGACAGAGCAGAAGTGACACTCATATCGCGTCTTCGTTCACTGTCAGATGGCGAGGAAATGTAACATTCGGAGGACGTGTGAGGATGAACGCGGTGTCTGAGGAGGCTGAGATCACATCAGAAGTGACGAGATGTTTCAAACAAGCCGTGCAATGTTTGCACGGGAACGATCGTTTGTTTGGCATTAACAAGACGTCGTCTCACACGCCGGGCTCCAGCTTCACATCGGTGTCGTACATCTCACCCTCGGGGACTCTTTTGCATGCCTCAGGTGGGCAGGAGGCATTAATAGACCGGAGTTAGGAGCTCAGACGGCCACTGAAAGTGCTTTGATTAGACAGCAGTGATTACACAAGCAACACTGTGTGGACGCTGAAATTACGTAAGAAAAAAAAAAGTCGATATTACGTAAGGAAAAGGTAACGTGGGGGTAAAAAGTGGGCCAATTAATTTTACGAGCTCTGAAACTTCCATGGAATATTCATGGCCACTGCGAGCAGATCGTAACCACACATCCATCCAAATCTACGGGGGGAGAGGGGCGGACGACACCAGAGCTGTTGTGTAAAGGGAACAAGGGCGGATTTGACGGTGATTGGTGGGTGTGCTGTGGATTGGGGTGCCGGCTCTCGTTTTGAAGTTGAGCCCCCTCAGACGGAATCCTAAATGTGCTTGGCAAACAGTGCGAGTGCTCCGCGAATCTCCCCGGCAGAGCAGCGTTTTTAACAAGCTTCTGTAGTGGTTCACGAGGCCTCGCTCTCCACAAATGCTGTCTGAAAGACGATTTTTGCAACTGGAGGCTTTTAAGAAATTATCTCTGTCAGTAAGAAAATTAAACGGTGTCACAGACTGTCACCTTGAATTCTGGATAGGGCTCTTTAAAGAGATGGCTTCCCTATTGTGTGTGTGTGAGGGAAATTAAAATCCCTCAGCTCTCTGCCACGAGACCGGGTACCAGAAAGACAACGCCTGAACAGAACAAGTCATTTCCAGTCCTGTGCTTCGCAGCCAATGCATATCACCTCCAGCCCGGAGATGGCAGACAGATTACACCTCATCCATATGCAGGATGGAGGAACCTCTGTCATCCCTACTTCACTGCCTACCGCTGATTACTCCTCCAGGAGAAGGGGTGGGAATCAATAAAGAGAAAGAGAGACTGATTAAATATCGGACCGCATCTACAGACCCTGGTGTTCTCAAAGCAGGGGCTGCTGCCCTGAAGCCGGAGGGCCACAGAGAAAGAAGCAAAGACTCATAACTGATGGATTTTTTTTGGATCATCTGGACACAAAGTGTCCAATCTGTCCAAGTCATGATTATCTTTGAGCTGGTTGAAAATCAAAATAGCCAAGTCAGACAAAGTGTCTGACTGGGTTAACTGGGATTGTCCTCACATGCTGAATGGTTTTGTTTGGCAACCCTGAGAGTTTACTGTAAATTCAAAGCTATTCGCAACAAAACAAATATGGAGGTACCCAGAGATTATATTTGTCATATTCAGTAGCAGAGCTAGCAGTAGTACAATAGAAGTTCTTCTTTAGAGACAAAAACAAAACTCTAAACACTTTATGGGAAATAATCAATGAGGGTTTCACAGCAAGTTTCAATACAGTCCATCAAATAAATAATTGATTAATCATCTGACTTTATGGCTTGATGATAATACGGAATCAGCAAATAATTTATTCGATTGCTTTCATGCAGTGTGGACAGATTCGCTGCCAAAATAGGCTTTTATTCATTAGCATTTCCATTTCTTCATGCATTATTGAGCTCTCAGGCCAACTGTCACTTCTCACAAGTACAGCATCATGCAGCTCCAAAAGTAAGAGGTGAATCAGGGATCACGCAGTGGTGATTTTTAGAATATGCTCTGACTGCACTGGTTGAATTTAAATGGAACACAATAAACGCAATTCATTAGGAAGTGTTGTAGATATTCGGCTACTGTAATGGTGAATGGACTTAATCTGTAATGGTTGGTTGTAAAACAGCATTATTTCCCGATTAAAGTGAGATGTATTGAGATCCGGTATCTGCTAGAGCCTAATTGTGAATCGAAAAGGGAAAACAAGAGCATCTGTGGTAGCAGCAGCAGGAGTTGCATGGCCTAGCAGGCCTTCTGGCAACTCAACAGTGTTAATGGCTTCATTAGTGGACACTTATTAGGATTAACAAGTGTTCAGTATAACAAGCAGACATCCCTACACCTAAACCACCATCTGTGGCAGGTTTGGTTGGGTTCACTATGCTCTTTTTCACATAATCTTAATGAGGACCAGCACAAAATGTGTAACCAATAAGTAAATGATATCAAAGTGACAGATTTTTTAAAATAAATATAAAAAGGAACGGCTGCTTTCCTTTCTATTGAGTGGGGTTGATACAAATTTGCAAAAAAAAAAATTCTATAGTCTGTATTCTACACATAAAGCAAACATCCATTTGACTCAGTATTTGACTTCATTTTAATCCTTCAGACTGTGAGGTTTCCAAAACAATCGTGCAAAAAATATCTTATCAACTAGTGAACATAAGGTGTATTATTATGTTGGACAGTCTCTGCGCCATTGTGTGTGCCGCCTGTTGCAGATGCTCCTACTTTTCCTGCCCTTTGAAAATGTAGACCAAGGGAGTTGTGATGATACCATATAATTAAAGCCAGTAAATACATTTCATCATATACCAAAGACTCATCTCTAACCCATGCAGTCATAAAAATTCTATGAACTTGAGCAAGTAACACAGCACATAGGGTGATTCAAACCAAGAAAAACAAAACAACCTTCAATCAATGTTTCAGGTGGTCAGAGCTAGACTGTGAACAGTCTGTACAGAATTAAATAGTTCAGTCACAAGTTTTAATCATTATTTGTCCATTTTATTCTATGATAATTAGTAAGAGTAACTAAATCAATGAATATATCATCTATGAATTCATTCTTATCCATTGTATGATCAGTTTTCACGCAATGGGGTAGACTAATTGATTATTATTCTCTCTGTAGTTTGCTGTTTTTAATTGTTTTTTATTTTTTTTTAAAAACATTTTCTAAAAACAAGAAAAACATACCACTATCACATTTTGGAATTTTTACTGCAAAAGTTCTGCATTCAACCGTTACGCTACAGTGGAATGCCCCAGGGGTTGGAATCATATTGTGCAAAAGGAATCCGCTTATGTCACAGATGTGACAGTGAGGAAACAAAACGAGGAAGAGGTGTTGACGGATCCACAAACAAAAGATATGGAGGGCTCCTAATTTGAAGATTAGCAACTGGTCCATGCTTTGATCCATATTGAACTCCTTTTTAGTTCAAAACAAATGCATGAGCATGAACCTTTGTGTCATTTTACAATGTGGGAGTGTAGTCATGCCAAGGCTTTCCTGCCAGCTGCTGGAATATTGTCATTAAGCCGGAAACTGTGGAAAACTTAGGGAGCATCTGCGAATCCATCTCAACCTCTCATCATGCTCTGAGCAAACTGTAACAATTCTGTGTGTTCTCCGTGTGTGTTTCGCGAGAGCCCCGGCAGAGAGGCAGCATCTGTTCCCACCGATAAACAGGCTGCCCCACTGAGAGACACTTAGAAAGACCACTGACAATTTCATTTAGCCTCAAGCCAGCCAGTCATTCCGGACCCTTGTTTTCAACACGAGGAGCTGTCTGAGGCGCTTTAAAACGCTGCACACGATGCTGATAAATGAAGGCGGTGGAATATTGCCGTTTAAGCTTCCCCCGTGAATACACTTAAACCATTGATATTCTCTAAATCTGCCACAGAGTAATGCTGCTGAAACATAAGAAGGGAATGGATGGAGTGGAAAATAAACTGCCTTTGTCTCTTCTGTTGTGCAGACAGTAATTCTTTTCAGGTGCTGATCCCCGACAGAAACTTATTTCATTATCACCAAATGTTCTTTGAACTTGCTAGTGCATTTACAGGGATTTTTTTTTTTTTGTGACAAAAGGACTGCTGAGTAAGCTGGAAATGAACCCGGGCTCGTTGTTCAGCCGCACAGATCAATGCTCTCCATCCGGAACAAGAAATATCTCCAGCCATTCAGCCGCTCATGTCCTCAACATTTATTGAAGATAGATTCCTTTATACACTTTCTCCCTTTTCAGAGCAACCTTGAACTCTCCTCCTTTTCATGTTAATTTACTTTCAAAGGATTCCTTTTATCTGCGTGACTCTTCTCATATTTCAGACAAATCCATGGATATATTACCCCACTAAAGGAAGAGACTTTGAACTTTGTCTGTCTTTATTGCTTTTCTGATAATAGAATTATCCATTATCAATTAGGCCAGGGGGGGCTCCAGTTTTTGGCTCGGACCAAGAATTAATTTCAAGCTTACCGATTGAAGCAGCCCTTTTCAGATCAGGCCAGGGTTATAATCAAGAGTGTTCTGTTCGGAGAGATCAGGACAGAAATACCTTCAACTCTGCTGTACTATGTGGATTGTCATATGAAAAAAGTGCTGAAAGCACTGCTTTCTTGTAAACTCAGGTCCTCTGCACGTATTACAGTAAAACTTAATTTTTTACTTTAAATAGCATTTTATCCCCAACAACTGAATTCAGGTCCTGTTTGGGCCCTTTTTTCTGTCATCTCTTGACTTTGATTACAGTGAAAACCTTCCACATTAAAAAAAAAAAGAAAGCAAATAATAAGACAAATAAACATGAGGTTGAGTTAATTGATAATCTGACTGTCTTTGTGCTTCAGCTCTTTGATCAATCTTTGCTTACCTCATGCTGAAAATGTGATGGACGTTACTCAAACAGGACCCAGATGCAGAGATCTTGGCAAAAAGGTTTTAAATTGAACCAAAAGCGCACTCGCAAGGAGTGGATGACAAAGAAAAGTTCAAAACAAGGCAGACAAAGCCGTGAACAAAGTACAGAATAAACTCACTCAGAAAAGAGGACCAAAAGTTAAAAAGTACAAAATCAAAAACTCTCTTACGAGCCATAAACGGGGTTCAAGGTGCAAGGAATAACTATGACTTTGCTCAGTATGACTATGACGGAGGACGAAAGACGAAACACACTGGCACCAGACAAGGGGAGACTCACAAGGGAAAGGGAACCCCAGGTGAACACAATTGGTGATGAGGGAAGACAAGCAGACATGTGACACACAGGGGAGTGAAAGGGACCTGAAACAAGGGGATGTACCTTACAAAATAAAACAGGAAATGAAGACAACCATGGAGACAGGACAAAACACCAACAATTACGCACAATCATTAGCATTG